AGCCTGAAGGTGCGTAACTTCCTCATTTCACTTCCTCACCACCTATCAGTTTCAGTGGCTTTGAAAATGCAGGATAGCACAATACCCCCCCCCCAAATGACCCCTTTTTGGAAAGTAGACACGCCAGACTATTTGCTGAGTGGCATGTTAAGTAAATGGAATACTTTATTTTTTTACCACAAACTTTTGGAAAATGACACCCAAAGGAACTTAACCACTTCAAGTCCAGACACTTTCACCCCCTTCCTGTCCAGGCTAATTTTCAGCTTTCAGTGCTATCACACTTTAAATGACAATTGTGTTGTCATGCAACACTGTACCCATATGAAGTTTTTAGCATTTTTGTGAGAGACATATAAAGCTTTATTTTGGTGGTATTTATTCACCACTGGGATTTTTATTTTTTTGCTATATAAATTAAAAACTCCAAACATTTTGAAAAAAAAGTTTTTTTTATAAAAAAGTTTGCAAATAAATAATCTTTCTTCATAAATCTTGGCCAAAATGTATTAATCTATCTTTTTAGTAAAAAAAAAATAAACCCAAATTTAATTTATAACTAAAAATTATAAATTTTTCAAAAAATTTGTTTACATTTTAATTTAATTTTTTTTTATTATTATAGTTTTTTTTTAACATACTGTCACCCTAGCAGTACAGTGGCACCATAGTGACACTGTACTACTTGTGGGGGGGGGATGAAGATTTTTTTTTTTTTCTTTACACTGATTGCTTTTACACCCATAAAGGCTGTAAAAGCAATAATTTCTCCTTCTCTCTGGCTGCATTCGTGCAGCCCATTGAGAAATACTGTGTGAGCTGTGATTGGTCACAGCTTGTCACATGGTACAAGGCTGTTGTGAATAACCTTGTACCATGTGACCTCTGTGATCATTCACAGATTTCACAAGTAGTAAGCAATGAAGTCAGAAGTAACATCTTGCTTGCTACTATTCATGTGATCACATGATCGGGACCTCACACAGAGGTCCCGTGCAACGATCGGTGTTCCACTGTGTCTTCCGGACCCAGCAGGCACAGGATCACGGGTGCCGCCGCGCATTTCTAGGCAGCGCGAACAGGCAGGGGAGAGGGGAGGACGTTAATAAACGGCCACCCACTCCTGCAATGCTCCCGTCCGGCCGTTTATATACATGGGCCAGACGGGAATTGGTTAATAAAACACATGGTGAGTATTTTGCAGATCTAATTTTATTTTTCTCATAAGGTTTTGAAAACTAAAAAAAGAAAAAATAAATTTTCGTTTTCTTTCTTCATTTTCCAAAAACGTTGTGGCAACAAACGAGATCTGCAAATACTTAGCATGCCTCTTATCAAATTCCTTGGGGTGTTTTTACTTTCCAAAAAGGGGTCATTTAGGGGGGATTTATACTGATCTGGCATTTCAGGGCCTCTGAAACTGTGATAGGTAGTCAGGAAGTGTAATAAGGAAATAAACCCCTTTAAAAAGGTATCTTGTATGCGGCTAGACCACCAAAAAGTCTCTCACATGTGGTATCCCCATAGTTAGGAGAAGTAGCAGAATGTATTTTGGGGAGTAAGAAGACACCCTAGAGAATAAATTGGCGGGTGTTGCAATTTTTTAGTCACACAGTACTTGTGCAGCGATTTTTCAAAAACAAATTTTTTGAAAAAAATAAAAAATTTTGAATTTTAATGCATAAAAACACAATATATTGGCCAATTGTTTGGCAATATATAAAAGATGATGTTATTCTGAGTAAATAGATGCCAAACAGGACATGCTTTAAAACTATGCACGCCCCGTGCAATGGCGTCAAACTACATACATTTTTAATATCCATAGGTGATGCTTTAAAAGCCTTTACAGGCTACCACTTCAGATTTACTCAGAAGGTCTAGTGCAAGAATCAATGCCCTCAACCTGGCATTTGCTGCGATACCTCACATGAAGGTGCAACTGCTGTTTACATACCAACACGGGGCCAACGTTTGCATGTGCCACTGCGTGCAAGCATTTTTTAAAAATGATTTATTTATATATATTTTTTATTTTTTTACATTGTCCCTTTTCATTTTCATTTACTTTTTAAACAATCTCATCCAGCAGTGCTGCACACACTGACGGATATTCTGAAAGCACACCATGTTGCTGTCAGAATAAACAGATCAGTGCTGAATGGCATTCTTGCAAAGAAAACAACAATGGTTAACAATAAAACAGTAATTCAATAAAACAACAACTATCTTTTTTTATGTTGTTTTTTTTTACTTTTTAAAAAGATAAAAAAAAAACTAAAATCCAGATGTTAGGGTCTCCTAAAATGCGATAGCCAGTTTCCTGACTATCTAACATCTTTTGGGACCCTGTGTATATATGTGCCCTAGAATGTGCTGTACCCTATACTAATACTCAACTAGTGTGTGGTAACGATGGAAGCAGTTCTTGAGGCAGAGACCAGGTTGGCCAGGACAGGAGGGACAGAAAAAGCAGCAGGTGTCACCCCTAATTCCATGTCTGCTACAGATACAACATCTTTTTTGGGGTGACTTTTGGGTTGGGGGTGCCAGGAATGGCATCAGGAAAATGCCTCACATGCAGTCGGCTTACTGTATCTGGGTTGGGGGTTTGGGCCACAGCACCTTCTGAATACAAAAGGGCCGTGATGATCTCGTCCTGGAATTTTAGGAAGGATCCACTTCGTCTAGATGCTTTGTAAAGCACAAAAGCATTGTACAGAGCCAATTGCAATGAATATACAAACGCTTTATGTACCAGTGTCTGACTTTATGGGAAACTAAGTACGGCTTCATCATCTGGTTGTTGAAGACCACCCCTCCCATGTTAAGATTATAGTTGTGGGGCTTCTCAACACCGGCTGCTGTGGAAATTTGGATGGTTGTGTCTGCGTGAATGTAAAGGCAGGACGAAAACATCCTGTTTTGTGCTTCCACTTCCACTTCCCTTCACTGGGAAGGGGTTTTCTTTAAGTAACACCCTTTCAAAATCAACTGCCTGCTGAACACCTGTTTAATGAATAATTAGAATCACCTGTAGATGAATTCTTGTTAATTAGGATTTTGTTGTCTAAAATTTAGCTTTGCTCCTAAGACTTTCATTAGGGTGTATGCATTTTTGCAACATGGTCTTGAATGAATTTGTTAGGAAAAATACTTTTTTGTGTGTGCAAATTAACAAATCTTGTTTGCAATCAATGACCCACATTTGTGGGAGTATTTTGTAGTATAGTGTCTCATAGAAAATTCTGATTCTCAAAGGAAAGTAAAGGTTTTCTAACATCTGTTGGAGTGTACTCATTTATGCTGAGCATTGTAAGTGGTACCCCATACGGAAAAAAGATGATACCAAGTACAAAACTATCTTGCCTCTGATCCCCATGTAGTCTGGGCATTCAGGGGGTTCCCCATGACTATGTTTTCCCTCGTAAATCTGAAAATGACATGTATAGCCTGTTGCCCTCTCACAGGTCTTATACATTTTGACCCCATGTCTGGCACGCTTGCTGGGGAGAAATTGTTTGAATGCAAGGCAGCCAGAAAAATTAATGAGGGAATCATCAACACAGATGTTTTACTGGGGAGTATATATATTTACAAATTTCTGGATAAGGTGATTTTAGGAGGGGCCAAATTTTGTGGAGCCTTTCATATTCTGGGTCACCACAAGGATGACAGAGTGTATCGTCATTGAAATGTATAAATTGCATTATATTCTCATATCTATGCCTTGCCATGGCAGCAGAGAACAAGGGCATATGATGAATCAGGGCTGTGAACCAATACCACCGCAATTCATTCTTTTTATTAATTCCCAAGTTGAGTTAGGTAAAAAAAAAACTTTAAATTCAGAAATTCAACCCCCCCCCCCCCCCATGTGCGGCCATGCTGTTTTAAAAAGTGACAGCTAGTAGGGGGAGAAGATGAGTGCTCTGACTCAGTTGCCTACACGCTAGTTCTAAAAGTCAAAAGTCAAAAGCTCACCTGGCTGCAGATCGCTTGCCCAACAGCCTCTTACTCATCAGGTGTGGCCCTTTGGCCCTTTGAGTTGCTGAGGCAAGGAAGCAGAGGGGCTCTTCTTTCCTGGACATGTCCAGGAACCCAGGGAGTTGTGGGAAGTAGAGTTAAAGGGGTCTGCACCTGCTTCTTGCTACTTTCTTTTTGAACCAATAAAAAAGGCAATTGGAGCTTGATTTAGCTAGGGGCCACAGCAAATAGCCCCTGACCTTTACAGTATAGTTATAGTAAAGCTACTAGATATTTAATTGGATATATGTTTTAAAAGTCTGACCATCACATTAGTTTTAATAATAATTCTATAAATTAAATTTTTTACACTCTAAAACAAATTACTTATATGCTGAATAATGCATTTCAGCTGGCGTTTTCTCATCAGAAGCTTACCTGGGCCGAAGTCTTTCTTTTAATGCACTTTATATCTGCAATCTATCTTAGTGTGCAGTTTTTAGATATGTCTAATTTGCTTCCTCAGTTTGTGTTATGTTGCTTAGTTCAAGGTGTACAATGATCGATAGTCAGGTTCTGGACCTCTGTTTACTGGAACTGCTTAAATAAGCTTTATGTTTCCATTTCAAATGCTAAGTGCCATAATCTGATATTGCTTTCTTGCCACTATAATGAACATGATATTATGCACATATAAATAAGTCTACATTTAAAGGGCTTTTCACTTTCCCCACTAATACCTTATTTCAAATCAGTTTCTTTCACTGGTGGATTTCTAATGTCAGTGTATAGGCAATCCTCTTCAGGAAGTTTTATTTAAAAACTGGGCAGCTTTAAATCATAACTTGAACCAAACAACTAAACTATGTAGCAGGAATAAATATATGTGAACTGTTTTTACCATTGAAAAAAACATGAGTTATTCTGCTTGGACAGTATTGTGATTCACACATTTCTACCATACTATATTGCTGAAAACTTATTCAGCTAACGCTAACACATAATTAATCATTTACATTTCTTTTTACGTATAGATGGAAAAATATAGTAAACATCTGGAACTGTTAGTTGCTGAACGTACCCAAGATCTAATGCATGAAAAGCAAAAAACAGACAGATTACTGTACAGTAAGTTAATGTATTTCTTCTCTTCTTACCCAGTTGTAGTTTTTGTGGCTTCACTGGTGATTAATAACATTCATCTGCTGTTTTTGTAAGACTTTATTTGTAAACCAAGAAAGAAAATGCAGAGGTAAAAAAAATATACATTTTCTCAGAGCTGGTAAGACAAAGAAAATGCAAAGAAATTATAGATATTAATGTAAAGTATCATAGTTTATTCATCATAAAAGTATATATTACATTATCTGTAATGGAACATGACAACATATGTAATAACAAGGTGTATTTTTGGGTTTTTTTAGCTTTGGAAAAAGTAGGGGGAGTTTATAAATTTGGTCAGTTTTTTATCTGTTTTTTTATCTGTTATCAAGTGCTCCATTGGGCTCTGGCTAACATTGGTTTGGCAGACAGAGAGTGAGGGTAACTCTTCAATAGTGATGAGCTTGGCCATGTGGTCACATTAGGTCAATATTGTCACAAGCAACCCACCCCTTTGTGTACATGCAGCTGCAGGTGGGGAATTTGGCATGATGTTAAAGTGAGTCTGTAACCAGGCGATGGACATTCAAGTATTTAAAGCTTATTTACAGCTTGTGAAGTATATATAAACAAAGGTCTCACTGACTCACTGCAGGTACTGTGGAGCAATTTATTCTAGGATTGCAGTATTGTATTCAAGTAAGGTCTGAGCACTCTGTTCTCCACTCATTATGTGTCCTTGCTCTGTATTTATTTTGGAGATGAGAAGACTGGAAGGTTGCAAAGTCATTACTGGGTAGGAGGGGCAGGGAGAGGTGAGCTGCTAAAAGAAGGACTTAGTCTGCATTCTCACCTGAGCGGAGCATATTCCTGTAATATTGAAGCATTTTGGGGTGTTTTTAAAGCCCTTTACAAGTTCTGAGCAACATGTTTTGCATGAGTTTCAAGCTTCAGTTGTTTGTTTCCTTGGCTGATCAAGGAGAAGTTAGCAGTCCTAGAGGTGAGGAGGGGTTCTAGAGGAGGAGTTTTTCAGAAGAGCACTTCCAGGTACCTCCACTGAAGTCTATGGGACCAAAAAAATAGCTCATGTACTTTTTTGAGCATAGGGAATTGAGTACACAAATGACTAATCACTGAAATGTGAACAGGCAAAATTACCAACAGTAGGATTCTGCGTGTTCGGTGTACTCAGGCATAGAGAAGCACACTGCAAAACACTCAGGTGTGAAAAGAGACATATGTTTCTGCTGGGGAAATTGAGAATTAATTGCTGCGCAGTGCCTGCAGTCACATGGGTCATGAGATCTTTAAGGTTAATTTACTGCTTGTTCAGAAAATGTAAATACTTGAATTTCCATTACCCTGCCATGTATTTTCTTTAAGTAATGAAAAAACTATTCAGTGATGAAATCCTTATTCACAGAAATTGCTCATAAATGCTTTGCTGCCACCAGGATATTAGTGTATATCACCAAAACAGATGAAGTAATCTGGTATTGGTGCAAATAACATAAACTAATTATAATATTGTAGAGCAGATACCATACGGTGTCACAGCATACCCTTCTAATGAGATGTCATGTTCCCCCAGAGCACACAGTGGATCTAATAAAGTACTTATGCAAACAGTTACATTTTTGTCTTTTTAAAGATGGTATGTTTTTAAACAGTTTTTTGTGTCTTTCCAGTCATTTTAATACATTTTTAGACAGTGGTTTTTATTTACTATATACAACTTAAGTTTTACAAATAAAGATTTAATACACATCAAAGGATTTCAAGAGCACTATACTAGATTAGCTAAGGAGACTGCACAGTAGAGCTGTTTGATTCACATCTTTCTTTGGTAGAAACCTCCTACTGAGACTTCTGATATCCAAATCAATATTTGGTATGACCACCCTTTGCCTTCAAAACAGCATCAATCCTTCTAGGTACACTTGCACACAGTTTTTTAAAGAAATCGCAAGGTAGGTTGTTCCAACCGTCTTGGAGAACTAACCACAGATCTTCTGTGGATGTAGACTGCCTCAGATCCTTCTGTCTTTTCATGTAATCCCAGACAGACTCGACTATGTTGAAATCAGGGCTCTTTGGGGGCCAAGCCATCACTTTCAGGACTCCTTGTTCTTCTTTATGCTGAAGACAGTTCTTATTGATATTGGCTGTATGTTTGGGGCCATTGTCCTGCTGCAGAATAAATGTGGGGCCAATCACATGCCTCCTTGATGGTATGGCATGATGGATAAGTATCTGCCTGTAATTCTCAGCATTGAGGACATCATTGATCCTGACCAAATCTCCAACTCCATCCACAGAAATGCAGCCAGAAATGTGCAAGGAACCTCTACCATGCTTCACAAATTGCCTGCAGACACTCATTATTGTACAACTCTCTAGTCCTTCAGTGAACAAACTGCCTTCTACTACAGCCAGATATTTTAAAACTTTGGCTCATCCGTCCAGAGCACCTGCTGCCATTTTTCTGCACCCCAGTTCCTATGTTTATGTGCATAGTTAAGTCGCTTAGCCTTGTTTCCAAATTGGAAGTTTGGCTTTTTGGCTGCAATTCTTTCATGAAGACCACTTCTGTACAGACTTTGAACAGTAGATGGGTGTACCTGGGTCCCACTGGTATCCACCAGTGCTATGCTAATGGCAGTGTTGGACATCTTGCAGTGTCAACAGGAAGTAAGCATAATGTGTCTTTAATTTGCTGCATTGTTACATTGACTGACCACTGTGTTTATAGTCCTCAGCATTGCCAGTTTCTTTATGCTTCTTCAAAAGAGCTTAAACAACAAATCTTGACACCCCTGTCTGCTATGACATTTTTTGCCTGGAGAGACCTTGCTGATGCAGTATAACTACCTTGTGTTTTGTTGCTGTGCTAAGTATTGCCATGGTGTATGACCTGTGACATGCAACTGTCTTCCACAATCTCACTTTAGTAACAGAGTTTGGCTGTTCTTCACCCAGTTTTAAGCCAACTACACAGCTGTTTCTGTTTCAGTTAATGACTGTGTTTCAACCTATACATGAAATTGATGATCATTAGCTGCTTGGTATAATTTGTTAATCATACACCTGACTCTACTCTTACAAAATTCCTAATTTGTGCAAAGTACAAAGTGTACAAAGTATGCAAATGTAAGAATGTAATGTTGGTTTGCAGCCAAAGGGTAGTCACATAAAATATTGATTTGATTTAGATTTTTCTTCTGTTTGCTCACTTTGTATTTTGTAAATTGATAAAAATAAACAATTCAAATTTATTTTTTGAAAGCATTCTTCACACCTGCCTAAAACGTTTGCACAGTATATATCAATACATTATCTGGTATTCGAAATGTGCAAAGAGAGATCAGACATGCGATAGGAGCTCCTGCGCTCCTAGCCCCAATCCGCTGCCATCCGGCCCGCAGCGGACCCCAGCGGGGCCCCTAAGACACTCCCGGCCCAGCCCGACCACCAGGGTAAGCTCCTGGACCCTTTCCCGGAGCTCCGGGAATCGCGGCCTACCCGCGCACCCGAAGCCGGGGCCTCAATTTTTGCCGCGACCGGACCACATCGCCGGACACCCCGCCCGGACCGTCTCCGCTCTGAATACCGGGTACCACCGACCTGCCTGCCTGCCCAGGGCCCTCCCCATCAGCCCTGGGTCCTCATTGACTACCCTAGACCACCAGGAACAGCAAGCAAGGACCACCAAGCTGACAGCAGCCCAGGACCACCCCCGGATACCTGCATGGCAGCACCACCAGAACGGGTAAGCTGCCAGCACCGATCCCCACAGACCTGCCAGCCTTCGCAGGGCCCTCCCCACTAGCCCTGTGTCCATCCCTGACCACCAGGAATCAGCTCAGGCCCACTGATCGCTGCTCCGCTGCCCAACCCATACGTCGGTTCTGGGCCCACCCCTGGTCACCCTGCACCCAGCTACCGGGCACCCAGCTACCGCCCCTGGACACCCACCGCCCAGCTACCGGGCACCCAGCTACCACCCAGCTACCGGGCACCCAGCTACCACCCCTGGTCACCCAGCTACCGGGCACCCTGCTACCACCCCTGGACACCCAGCACCCAGCTACCGGGCACCCAGCTACCACCCCTGGACACCCAGCACCCAGCTACCGGGCACCCAGCTATCACCTCTGGACACCCAACACCCGGACCACCCAGCGAATCAAGACGTCACCCAGCGAATCTCCCGGACCACCCAGCGAATCTCCAGCCACCGAGCCGCCAACATCACCAGACGCTGTGCCTACCAACACCCCCAGACACACATCGCACCCTACGACCCCTCCACTCGCCGATCCACTGGACCCACTGAAGACCCCTCGGACGCCAGCATACTGCACTCACAGATTGCAGCTACAGAAGGACTCTAATGGACTTCACGGTGATACAGACTCTCCACATCACCTCGCCCTGACCCGTATCCCTTCACCTCCCCCGACCCGAACAGCACTGCACTCACCCCAGCATGCCACCTGCACTTCTCCTCCTCGTCTTCCTCTCCTCCATCCCAAAAATCGCGCCTCCCTCTACCCGCCCACCACCCCCCCAAAACAGCTCTACATTGCCCCTTCACTTCTGCCCTCTCCACACTACGGTACTCACCACCTCCTCCTGGTACTCCACTCCCCGGTCGACCCACGTGCCACCACTACCAGACCCACACGCTCCTACACCTCCCATTCCCATGCCACCCTCCTCACCCTTCTCCTTCTCCTATCCGCTGGGGACATCTCCCCGAACCCTGGCCCCTCACCACCTCTCCCCCCCTCCAGGGACCCCCCTGCTGCCCCCGCCAGCCGCCGCAACCCCCCCCCTCAACCTCATACCTGTGCGCCTCCTCCCCGCATCCATCCCCCCTCTCTCGGTTGCACTTCTGAACGCCCGTTCGGTTTGCAACAAACTAACTGCCATCCATGACCTCTTTATCTCCCGCTCCCTCAACCTCCTAGCCATCACCGAAACCTGGATACAGGCCACTGACACTACCTCCCCTGCGGCACTCTCCCATGGAGGTCTCATCTGGTCCCATTCACCAAGACTGAGCGGTCACAAAGGTGGTGGTGTCGGCCTGCTCTTATCACCGCTGAGCACCTTCCAGGTCCTCCCTAACCCCCCCTCCCTAACCTTCTCCTCCTTCGAAGCTCACTGCATCCGGCTCTTCTCACCCACCCCCCTAAGGATCGCAGTGATCTACAGGCCCCCTGGATCCATAGCCCGCTTCCTGGATGACTTCGCCGCCTGGCTTCCCTTCTTCCTCTCCTCTGAGCTACCGACCATCATCCTCGGGGACTTCAACATCCCCATCAATGACACACCCCAGCTACCTCCCAACTCCTCCACCTAACCTCCTCCTTCGCGCTCACACAACACACACCCAATCCTCCACCCACATCAATGGGAACACCCTGGACCTCGTCTTCTCCCACCTCTGTACCCTCAACCAGTTCTCTAACACACCCTTCCCTCTCTCCGACCACCACCTCCTCACGTTCTCCACCTCCCCTTCCCCCCCCAACTCCCCCCCCCCCAGTGCGCCAAACCATCACCAGCCGCAACCTCCGCAACCTGCACCCGGCCCCCCTCCACTCGGCTGCCGACCGCCTACACGACAGCATCCTTCCACTGTCATGCCCTGACCTAGCCACCTCCACGTACAACGACTCACTATCAGCTACACTAGACTCTCTGGCACCCCTAACCACACGCAACATCAAACCCAGACCACTCAACCCTGGCAGAAACGACCACACTAAATGCCTCAAACGCCGCAGTCGTGCGCTGGAGAGACTATGGCGCAAAAACCAGGTCCCCTCATACATTCTCCCTCTACAAATCTGCCTTCCTCACCTACACCTCCTCCCTCCCCACGCCGCCAAGCAGGCCTACTTTGTTAACCTGATTAACACCCTCTCCACCTGCCCTCGCCGACTCTTCTCCACCTTCAACTCCCTGCTCTCTCCCCCCCTTCCTCCACTCAGTACCTCACTTACCGCCCACGAGATTGCCACTCACCTCCACAGCAAGATTGACGCTATCCGCAAGGACATAGTCAACTTGCAATCTACCTCCCCATCTAGCCTCCCCCCTTCTATCACCCCCTCTCATCTCTCCCCTCCCTCTGACCTCACAACGGCACTGCCCCCCACCACACCCAAGGCCCTGCCTACCGTAACCCCCCCATCACTGCACTCCTTCAGCCCTACTACCACTGAGGAAGTCAGCAGAGTCTTCTCAGAAGCCCGTCTCACTACCTGCCCCTGGACCCTATCCCCTCTCAACTCCTCCGGTCACCCCCCTCTTCCCTCATCCGCTCCCTTACCCACATCTTTAATCTCTCCCTCTCTACTGGCGTATTCCCCTCCCCCCTAAAACATGCGCACATCACCCCCATACTCAAAAAAAGCCCTCTCTGGACCCCACTGACCTCAACAACCTCAGACCAATTTCCCTGCTGCCACTCACTTCCAAGCTCCTTGAGCGCTTGGTCTTCGATCGCCTAAGCGCCCACCTAGATGACAACACAACCTCCTTGACCCACTACAGTCCGGCTTCCGTCCCCTACACTCCACCGAAACTGCCCTCCTCAAAATCACCAACGATCTACTAACCGCCAAAGCCAAAGGCGACTACTCTGTCCTCCTCCTCCTAGACCTCTCTGCGGCCTTTGACACAGTCGACCACCCCTCCTCCTTAATAAACTACTCTCCCTTGGCATCAGAGACACCGCTCTCTCCTGGTTCTCGTCTATCTATCCCAACGCTCCTTCAGTGTCACCTACAATGGTGCCACCTCCCCTTCTCTCCCCCTCTCTGTTGGGGTCCCCCAGGGCTCTGTCCTTGGACCCCTTCTCTTCTCCATCTACACCTCCTCCCTTGGCAAAACTCATACACTCCCACGGCTTCAATTACCACCTCTATGCTGATGATACTCAAATCTACCTATCCACCCCTCACCTCACCCCCTCATTCTCCGCCCGCATCACTCACCTCCTAAACGACATCTCTGACTGGATGTCGCTCAATTTCCTCAAACTCAACCTCTCCAAAACCGAGCTTCTCATCTTCCCCCCCAGCCCCGCGCCCCCCCCCCCATCCTTTCCATCACTACCAACAACACCACCATCAATCCCGCCCAGCAAGCCAAGGTCCTTGGCGTCATTCTGGACTCAAACCTTTCCTTTCAACCTCATATCAAATCTCTCACAAACACATGCAGGCTCCACCTCCGGAACATCGCCAGGATACGTTCCTTCCTTACCCCAGACACCACTAAACTACTAGTACACTCCCTGATTATCTCACGCCTGGACTACTGCAACTCCCTCCTCACCGGCCTACCCCAGTGCAGGCTCTCCCCGCTTCAGACCATCCTGAACTCAGCGGCCAGACTCATCCACCTCACCAGCCGCTCCACCTCTGCCACCCCCTCTCTGCCTCTCCCTCCACTGGCTCCCCATTGCCCAACGCATTAAATTCAAATTGCTCACCCTGACCTATAAGGCCATTCACAACACTGCCCCTAACTACCTCACCGATCTGATCCCCAGGTACCACCCTACCCGTACCCTTCGCTCTTCACAGGACCTTCTTCTATCTTGCTCCCTGGTCTCCTCCTCCCACGCACGACTGCAAGACTTCTCCAGGTCCTCCCCCATCCTCTGGAACTCACTACCCCAATCCATCAGACTGTTACCGTCCCTCCTCACCTTCAGGCGCTCCCTGAAAACCCACCTCTTCAGGGAAGCCTACCCCACCCTCACCTAACAGCCGCTGCCCTTCCCTCCTCCTACCACTTCATCCCCCACAGCCGCTTCCTCCGGTGCCTCTACCCCCCCCCCCTCCTAGATTGTAAGCTCGAAAGAGTAGGGCCCTCTAACCCCTTGTGTACTGTTTGATGTTACTGTTCTGTTTCATGTATTGTCCCCCCCTATTGTACAGCGCTGAGCAAACCCTTTGGCGCTATATAAACACGATAAATAAATAAATAAATAATAATCTTATTTTTTTTTTTTTTTTTTTAGTCCTGGCCATACCAAAGAAAGGAGATTTTTTACAACACAGTACACATTCTGTTAAAAATAAAAATTTCTCAAACACTATATTTGGATAGGCAGGTCCTCCAATATGAAAATACTTGCATTTTGCGGTTAGTATTTAGGAACCAGGCACTGCCTTGTAGGAGTAGGTGTGCCCATTGTCATCGTGTCATGAAGTTTAGTGTTTTCAGAGCACTCTAGAGAGGGAATGAGCTATCATAATAAAAGGCATACCCTGGTAGCTTATAGTGCATATTCTAAAACAAAAGTTGACATATGTTACCATTAGTGTTTCCTTGTAGACCAACACATCAATTAATTTGTATACAGTATGTGCCTTTTTATTCACCATTCTTTTTATCAACAATATGGAAAATGTTGGGAAGGAAAACACTGTTTATATATTTATAAAATGATTTGAACACCTGGGATGATACACATTGCTGTTTGTGTTGGGCAAACCTTACTGAAGATAATGAAGGTTTGTTTTCAGGGACTATCTAAGCAGGGTAGAGAGAGGAGCTTGGGAAGAGTGGGCAAACAAAACTAAGTGGTCCTGATAGAGACAGATGTTTGTGTGCTACAAAAAAAGGGGGGGGGGGCAATGCAAAACTTCTGTGATTTATGGACATGGTGAAAGGCCAGTATCTTTAGAGGACATGGTTTATTGTGACTCAGCTTTTTACATGTTTCAGCATCCACGTACTTTGCGATTCTCAGCATTCGGTCACTTGAAATTTTAGATCATAGGAAGTTGATGCCAGAAAACTTCATTTTGCCAGATCCTGTGATCACAGGTCTGAATTGGGAGCAGTTAGCTATGTAATGGCCACCATATGCCATTGAGTGCAGGTTTCACTCTGAGGTCTGAATAGTAAAGTGTGCCCACACAGGGCCAAGACCCCAACATATCTTACTAGTGTTGGCTTAGATTGAAGCCCAGACCTTCCATGCATACTGTTTTTACCCAAGAAGTTTGATTTACTTATCTTGTTCTTTGTGATTTTCAAGTCAGGGGAAAAGCAAAATGTAACTCTTACCTACAATGGATTAGATACTAACAGTCATGGGTAATAACTGATCCTGCATGTGATTACTAATAAACATAAATATGTAAAAATATGGTGGCAATAAAACCCAACAAATAAAATGGATGCCTATACAGTATAAGCTTGTTAAACAAATTGTAATGTTTCTACGTATTCTTTGTCCAAAGGTATGCTGCCAAAACAGGTTGCAGATGATCTGAGACAAGGAAAACCATCACAAGCTCAAAGTTATACCAGCGCGACTGTATTTTTTAGGTAGGAACAAGTCAACAGAGATTTTACTTGAATTAGTATGTACAGTGATTTATGTTTCTGTAAATGGGTGTCATGAAGGTTTAATTTTTTCATTGTATGCGAAAATAGAACAAGGAATATGACTGGTCACTATGGCAAACATTCTTACTTTTGTCCCCATTTCCTTTTCTTTGTTTTTTAAAATAGTTTGCAAAAGATTGGTACTGGTTATTTTGTGCATGAAATATTGCTAACCATTTCCAAACACTGAAATGCATTTCATCCTTCCATTTATGAATATATTTTCATTGTTTAAGTAAAGACATTCTTACCATGCTGAGAAATGAATTTCCACTGTGATGGCACCCAGAAAGAGCATGCTGATTAATTAATTTCCAATGTGATAGCACCCAGCAAGAGTAAGACTAGGTTTCCTTGGGCTTCTGGGGACCATCCAAACACTGCCTGCCTATTTGTGTGTCCTCCCACCCACTTTCTTTTATAGTTTATTGAAACATGAAAACACCTGCATAAAACTGTCCTTGAGCATTTTGGTGAGCATATTAAAACAGTGTCCTAACTGGATGCTGTGACGGACCTCCTGTCACCCAGTTTGGGTGATTCCATCAGATAACTGCTTCTTCTCTGCTGTGACACAGGACCAAGGTATTATAGCTGGGCATTGCTCCCAAGGCCAGGCGACACTAGCTTAGGTGCAAAAGTGTAACTCTTCAACAATAATACAGGTTTTATACACCCCTGTCCTGGTTGGGTCTGTCACAGATGCCTACTACTGCACTTAGCTAAACATCAGGATGGGAGCGTGTCATCTCATATCCAATGAACCCTAAAGGCAGTGCATGGGATGACTGTTCCAACTCATGATGTCGGTTCTAATCTAAAGCCAGAGGTACGTGGAACTTGCACAGTCCCTAGAAGCCCAATGTCACTATGGGGTTGGTTTACTAAAACTGGAGAGTGCAAAATCTGGTGCAACTTTGCAGAGGAACCAATCCGCTTCCAGTTGCTTTTTTTTTTTCTGTCAAAGCTCAATTGAACAAGCTGAAATTAAAAGCTGATTGGCTACCATGCACAGCTGCACCTGATTTTGCACTCTCCAAATTTAGCAAATCATCCCCTATGTGTTAATAAGAGGCATATTGTGGGTTTGATTGAAGGCGAACTAGTAGGGTGCTAAGGAGTATGACAAAATATTTTTTGGAGAAATCGACCTATACAATTTTCATAGAATATCATTCATTTTATGCCCTGTATATGTTGAATGCAGTAGCAAAAAACAAAAACAAAATAAAACAAACTGATAGGTTATGTTGAACATTTTCAGCTGATACCCTACAACAATGCTCTCCTATAAATCTTCTGAGTGTGCATCCACCATTAAGAATGAAAGTGACATCATGTAAATATTTAAAATACTGCTTTAACCACTTTGTGACCACCCTATAGCAGAAATACTGTTATAGGGCGGCACGGGTGCACCAAATTGCATGTATATATACGTGATTTTGCTTTTTCCGGGTAAGGGGAGCGCACAAGGTGCGTGTGCACCCTACCCACGCCGCCATTTACTGCTCTGGTGATTACTGAGGATCTCCGATGGGGAGAACTGTTTTATTTACTAACAGTTCTCCTCCCTGTCAGCGTGAGCACACACAGCACAGCCATCCAAAGCAGTGGGCTTACAGTGAAGCACACAGACACCGCCCCACAGTAAAAACACACACCAGCACACAGTTAACCCTTTTTATCGCCCCCCTCTCATTCACCCCTTCCTGCCCAGTGTCATTAGTACAGTGTCAGTGCTTTTTTTTTTTAGCACTGATCACTGTATTGGTGTCACTGGGTATGTCAGTGACACCAAGTCAGTTCCCCCCAGTGTCAGAATGGCCGCCGCAGTCCCATTAGAAGTCACTGATTGCCGCCAATACTAGTAAAAATAAATAATAATAAAATAATCCCAGTATATATATTGCCATTTGTAAACGCTATAACGTTCACGTAAACCAATTAATTTACACGTATTGGGATTTTTTTTAGCAAAGGCATGTAGCAGAATACATTTTGGAAATTTTATTTTTTTTTTATTTTTTTACTAGACATGTTTAATAAAAAAAGTCAAAAATTTTGTTTTTTTTTCTCAAAATTGTTGTTGTTTTTTTTTAAGCGCAAAAAAATTTAAAAATGCACAGGCGATCAAATACCACCAAAAGAAAGCTCAATTCAAGGGAAAAAAAGGATACATAAAATTCATTTGGGTTCAGCATTGCATGACCGCACAATTATCAGTTAAAGTAAAGCAGCGCCTTAACGCAAAAAATGGCCTGGTCAGAAAGGGAGGTAAATCCTCAGGAAGGCAAGTGGTTAAACTAATCTAGGCAACAAATGTTTCTATTTCCACAACACAGATTACAATATTTTTTTTCTGAGCCAAGATGTATAGCTGTTAAGGGTACAAGGATTACCACACTTCTAATTGTCTGTTTGGTTGTGTTACCAATGTGTTGACGTATTTAAATGCATACTATATCTAGCATGCCATTCTTTATGCACTATGCTGTATCTTTGAGTCCTGACTAGCAGAATAAAATATGCGATCATACTGGTAGAAGGTCAAAATTAATCTGTTAAAAAACAAACAGAGGAAGTGGCTGTCAAATTCTAACCATAGACTATTGTCACCAGTTGATAATTCTGAATGTTGACAATTCCATTTTGGAAATACCTTTCAATGCATTGCATATTATAATGTATTATCTGTTAAATGTAAAGACTTGTTTCAGAAACTGGGGATACACCTCCATAAACAAATAAGACAGAAACAGAAAAAATTGTTTTTTGGTTGCAAAATTTATGTAGAAACATTTTGTTAAAGAAATGTATTGTACTGGATATGCTACTCTTGGGTAAGATCTGCAATTATATTTAGGCTATCTGCATTTTGAAAGGTAAAATAAATAAATTCTGTTGATATACGCAGGGTACCATCATGCACATGTCCTGTTTTAATGAGACAAGGCTTATTCACATAGCCACCTAAAGGCAAATCCTGGTATTGCACTATTCCCTTAGGAGTCACTAAAGATTTGGTACCCCTTGTAGTCCTGCAGAGACAGGCAGCACACATTATTCTTAGATCTGCACACAGTAACCAGTCCTTAAGCTTGGTTTTGTGATCTGATTAAGGTGTTTAGAACTCGGATGGGGTAAGGTGTATATGGAATGCCCAAGGAAATGGCAACTGAGGGCAACTTCCTGGAACTATGTACAAGTCTTTACACAGCAAAATTCTCTTCTTGGAGAGCTCTCCATCCTCTCCTGGTGTAGCACCTCAGACCCCAGATAATCCTCCTCTATCCAGGTGTCTGAAGGAATCCCTAGGCAGGGGATCCAGTGCCTGCCACTTTAAGGTGAACACTCCCTGGCAAAGTCAATCAAATAGAAAAAAACACCAATGTTTGACTTCCTCAGTACAACACGGTATCTGTCACTTGCTGAGGTGCAGCCCTCCAAAGATCAGGGAATCTAAGCACTATCAAGAGAAAACACAAGAGAGCGCACTCTCCACGTGCATTACTGTGATAAAAATGTATTTAAAAATAGGTAACAAAAATGCATACTCACAAAAAGACCATAAAAACAGACATTGAGCCAAATCTTTTAGTCCCAGACACAGTGGTCCTGTAAAAACAACTGCCTGATTGGAAATAGCTGACATGTTTCGGGAGACTAACTCCCTTCCTCAGAGCTAAGACAACCGGAGGAGCCAATACCCCATATATAGGGGAAAGAGCATGTGTAGGACATCACCACACCCTCTCCGTATGGAGATGACAAGGGCGGAACCCACCAGTTGCCGCCCAACATTATGCCCCGCACCTGTTAGAATGCCTAGATGAAAACTTTAAATCACACACTCCTTAAGCAGTTAACATGCTGAAATAAAATGCAATACCTATTATCATTCAATGCATGAAAACTTATTGGCAAAGAGGAAATATCAATGTATATGTAAAAAAAACCGTTTTAAATTATGAAGGTGGACAACTTACTTATGTACCAAGAAAATATGCAGAGTGAACTGGAGAGACGGTAGCCCTCTCAAGCCTCATGACCAGTGACGGGGATCATGGGCCCCTGTGTCCTTGGCCAAACTCAAAAAAGCCACCCAGGGGAAATATAAAAAAGCCACCCAGAGGAAATATATATATAAAATAAAAATTATATATTAATAAAATGCGCAAAATATAACATGTAACTCATATCAACATTATAAAAACATATGAAAAACCATATATATATGAATGGGAATGTGGCTGCACTAAAAAAACACGATAATAACTGTAATAAAATCAAAAAGTGTATACAAATGTATATAATGCAAGTAACGTGTGCACTTGCTAAATGTGTATAAGAAGGATCCAGCAAGCGCTAAATACAACAAATTGGCAGGGACATGGACCAAAAGGGGAGAGTAAGAACAGGCCAGGGGTAAACCGGGCCTATCTGAAAAGACAGGTTCCCCAGTGGGATCAACTCAGGGGGTCATCCACCCATGCACAGAGACATGTCCACATACGGCCCCATGGTGTCATACAAATGAACATGGTGGGGACTGTACAAGAACCAGGCATGTGGGAGGCCTCAATGTACTGAGGTACCACACCAAAAAACCTAGTGGAAAACCCCAATGACACTAATGGTTATTGTCAATACTGACACCCCTAGAGAACACATATGGACTGGGATCTGAACTAATCATACTAAAGACTGAATGTCTAATCTATAATTGAGACCCCTAGGGACCAGGAAACCCAACTGATGCATCCAAAAGGATTCCCTTTTGCTAAGCTTACAAAACTTTCTGCCCACATTGATGTCACCCTGTATGGCCTCTATACCAAATACTTTAAGTCCCTTGGGACTTTTTTATGCTCATCACTGAAATGACAGGACACCATGTGTTTGTCAAATCCATGAAGTATACAAGACACCATGTGTTT